AGGGACCCTTGCTCCCTTAAACATCTGTTTTCTCTGAGTCTCTCTCTCTCTGTCTCTCCCCTCCCCTTCAACATTCCTTCCTACTGGCTCTTTCTCTTCAGTTCCCACCTTCTCTCCTTTCCTTCGTGGCCAAGCTGTAGGAAATAGTATCTACACTAACTCTCACACCACCCGCCCCTGCACTGACATCAGTCTTGGTAAGGTCTCTGAGGGCCTCTTTGTTGCTTACCCGAGGGACACTTTTTTAGTCCTTACCCTGTTTGTTTACTTTGTAATATCTGACCACTCTCTCCTTCTTAAAATACTCACTTCCCTTGGTGCCAAGACACCACACTCACCTACCTGGCTTTCTCTCTCTCTAGCTGTTCCTTGTGTCCTCTGAGAGCAGCTCTTCCTCTGATGCCTCCATATTGTTTCTCAGGGCCATGCCCTCCCTATGGCATCTTCGTGGCTCCCCTCATCCAACCCCACGGATTCAGCTACCACCCATATGCTCTATCTCGATCTGTGGCCTAGATCTCTGTTTTGAGTTCTAGATCATTCACTTGCCTCTTAGACTCCTCAAATGTCTCAGATTCAACTCGTCTAAAAATAAATTAATCATAGTCACCTCACCCCACCCCTAAGGCTGCTTTCCCTCCTGTATTCTATACTTGGGTAAATAGAAGTACACCTAGGTCGTAACTCTGGGGATTCTCCTGCCCTAACCCTTCTCAATGTTTCCAAACTCTCCTTGGTGACAGAATCCTATTGATTCTACTTGTTCGACCTCTCTTGACTCCACCCCTCCTCTCTGTTGCGCTTCTGCTGTCACCCGTATCACTTATCAGCTATAAGAATGCCGTGACCTCCCAGTCTCTCTTCTCGCCCCATTGCAATCCATCCTTCCCACAGCTGCCAGTGTCTTATTATAAAATGAAATCATGATCTTGACACTCCCCTGCGTAAAAGCCTTCAGTTGCTCAACATAGCTTCCATGATCAAATTCACACTCCGTAGTATGGCTTAGAAGGCCCTTGGCAACCCAATGCCTCCCTATCTCTGTAGCTACTAATACTCTTCTCCTTGACTTTCACCCTTTGCTACAGTTACACTGGACCATTGGTTCTCCAATGGTGCCATGCTTTATCTTGCTTCTTCCATGCCCTTGCACATACCATCAGCTCCATCTGGGAGGCTGGTCTCACCTTGGGCCTAGCTAATCTGGATTCCGCTTTCAAGCCTCGGCTCAGGTGACAGTTTCCTACTTCCCCAATCCCTCCAGTCTGGGTTGTGTGCTCTACCTCTGCATTTACAAAGCACCATCTGTCTGCAGCTTCTGTCACTTTCTATACCGTACACGCTTAACACATTGTTTAGGCATTGTCTGTTTCTGTGCTTTCCCCAATTTCTTAAGAGCAAGCCCTGACCCTTTTTTATTTTAAAGTTTATTTATCTTGAGAGAGAGAGCGAGAGAGAGAGAGCGTGTGCGAGTAGGATAGGGGCAGAGAGACACAGGGTGAGAGAGAATCCCAAGCAGGCTCCACACCTCCAGCACAGAGCCGACTTGGGCCTCAATGCCATGAACCATGAGCCATGAGATCATGACCTGAGCTGAAATCAAGAGTTGGTTGGTCAACCGACTGAGCCACCCAGGTGCCTCTAGGCCTGACTCTTAAGGCCTGACTCTTAGTCATTTCCATACCCCAGCAGTGAGCACAGTGCCTGGCTCAACAAACATTGAGGAAACAAAGGACAAATAGTTTGCAAATACCATTCTTGTCATACTTGATTGAATCTACAGAAATTATGAATTCATCTACACTCTTCTGAGACAATTTGAAAATATGATTTTGGGGGTGACTGGCTGGCTCAGTTGGTAGAGTATATGTCTCTGGGTCTCAGGGTCATGAATTCAAGCCTGACACTGGGCATAGAGCTTACTTAAAAATTAATAATCATAACTAAATAAAAAAAGAAAATATGGCTTTATGTCCAAATTCTCAAATGAAAGGCAATTTGGCAGTGATTCTTTTCCCCCAGTTTCTGTAAACAACCAATTAACTCAGTCCAAAAGTTTACACTCTGGGATCTGAATTGTTGGGATGGGTCATTGCCATAGCTCCCTTTCAGTTTGTTCTGGACAGAATGAGCCTCAAGGACTCATTTTTAACTTTGTCCATTTTTTTCTTCCTTTTCTTGTTCTTCTCTTTCCCAGCTCCCCAGGGATCTGAGATTATAGGCTGACATTTTTAGCTTGACCCAATCAAGTTCACCCATGATCTCAGGGGCCACAGATATACCCTAAAGAGGATAGTAATAATTTGTTCTATATACAGCCAGCTGCAGCTTGTAGCTCCCATTATTTGAATTCTTCCCTAGAATGTCTGGAGAAGGAGTGCCTGGGTGGCTCAGTTGGTTAAGTGTCCAACTTCAGCTCAGGTCATTATCTCACAGTCCATGAGTTTGAGCCCCACGTTGGGCTCTGTGCTGACAGCTCAGAGCCTGGAGCCTGCTTCCAATTCTGTGTCTCCCTCTCTCTCTGCCCCTCCTCCACTCATGCCCTCTCCGTCTCTCTGTCTCTCTCTGAAAAATAAACAATAAAAAAAAATTTTTAAAAAGAATGTCTGTAGAAGTTCAGCCCCTTCGCCTCTAGATCTAGAAAAAGTAATTGGCTTCTCTTGAGAGCTTGCTATAAGCACATATCTCTTTGGATCCCACACATACAGCAGGGAGAGACATCTCGGGATTCACAGAGCTCCCCCCCGCCCGCCCCCCACCCCGGCTTTGGGAGGTCCGGTGTTTGGATATGTGGATACGATGACCCAGAGGGTCTGATATACCAGTTCGAAGGCCATGTAAACACAGACTTGCCCTACTGAAGCTAGAACTGTGAGGTTGGAACAGAGGTGGAGCAGCGCGAGGATTAGGTCCATGTTGACAATCTGCTTTCTCTCAACCAGGGCTCTGCAAGAGAGTAAAGCCCTGCAGAAAATTAATGGGGTGGTTATTTCCTCAGTTCCCCCAAAGATGTTACATAGCGGGTCCCATCCTAGATATACAGGAAAGAAATCAACTCATTACATACAATGGGTGCCTTAGAGCATTAAAGGCTGAATCTTTCTCCTGGAACCCCAATTGACAAGGGGTGACATTGAGCTTCTTGCTCATCCTGCTCCTACCAAGTTTTCCCAAGATGGCTCATCTCAACTACTCCAATGGCAGCATCACTTGCACTTCCTACTTAGTGATAAGCTGCCTGTCCCTGGTCCTTAACTGCATTGGAACACATAATGTATCCCAAATCACCAAGAGTATGTTTAATAATGACCTCAGAGTACTGAAGACTTAAGTGTTCCAGTGGGTCAAGGAGATTTTTCCTTCCGGTCTCTGTAAACCTTGCCTTTAAGGCAGGAAAAGGGGGTGGTATATAAGCATCAAGGTGCTATTTCTAGATGCACTTTCTTCAAAAAATAATTTATAATTAGGGGTTTCCGCCACTATCTGAAAGTAGGGTCTGCCTATGAAATATTTTGTAAGCTGAAATGGCATAAAGCAAAAAAGCACTTACCATTAATTTACACGGAAAATGTTTTGAGCATTCCCAGACCCCCAAAATAACCTCTCTTAGGCTTTTCTGATACCTCAGGACACATCTTGCCATCAGACACACAGAATAAGTGGAGATAGAGCCCTGATGCTCACAAAGTTCAAAGCTCTTGAGGCTGGATGCTGAGGTGCTGAGGGTAGTTCCTGGGGAAGGAGGCAGGGGAGGAGGGTGCGGGGAGTGGGATTCTGGCTGCTGGTGGAGGGGCGCTGCCTCTGTGAGTGCTCCCTGCAAAACCAACGCCAACCGCTATTTTTGTTTGTCTCTCTTTTTTTAAAAGTGAAAATCTTCTTCAGATTTCTTTCAATTACAGAAAACAGGAACTAATGCAGATCTTGTAAAAGCAAAGTGGCATAACGAAAACTTTTGAAAAGGGAGGGATACCTGTATAATGTGATAAGGCTTATTATAGACAATATACAAAACATAGGGAAAAATACCCAACAATTCTGTTTCATGAGTTAAGGACATTAGCCACTGTCAATTTTTTGAGTGTATGCTTTTTCTAAAACAATGTTTATTATTTATTTTGCGAGAGAGAGAGCATGCAAGCAGAGAGAGAGGGAGAGGAAGAGAGAGAATCCCAAGCAGGCTCTGCACTGTCAGTATGGAGGCAGACATGGGGCTTGAATTCAAGAACCATAAGATCATGACCTAAGCTGAAATCAAGAGTCACAGATGCTTAACTAACTGAGCCACCCAGGCATCCCGAGTATATGCTTCTATATGCACTTTTCCTGTTATAGTTGAGGTCATTGTATACATTCACACAGTCACATAAATGGCGTTGCTTACTTTTTTTCCCTTATAGTATAGTCATTTTCCCACGTCACTGAAAATTCTTCCTAAACATCATTTTCAGTGGATGTCATCATAGTCCATCATATGGCTGGGTTGAGCCATTTGTCTATATTTGGACACTTACATGGTTTCTGATAAATATATTTTCCAAGCCTCCAAACAGATTCCCAGAGCACAGGCCCCTTCCCTTGGCCTTTGGAGCCCATCCCCAAAGAGGCGGAGCCAGCCCCCCAGGATGATAAATGGAACTATTTGTTAGCACACTGTGCCCCAGCCAAGACTCACGGCCAGCTGGGGGAAACAAAACTCCGAAAGGAGACAAGAGACTCACTGGATGCTGGAAAGGAAGGGACCGATGATCACTCACAGGACCAGACATGAAGCTACACACGTTATTTCCTGTGGATCAAGTTCCTGATATTGGGACATCGGCCAAACAGGGCAAACCTCCCCCCCCCACCCCCCCTGTGGCTCCCAGGAATACAGCAGTTCGAGAGCACACCCTGAATGGAACACGTGTGCCTGGCTTCCCCTTGTCTTGGGAGGAAGGAATCGTTACCACTTAAAAAAAGAGAATCACAGCTCCAGCCCGGAAAGATTCCAGATGTAGGGAGGATTCAAACAGGGGAGTTTAATTAGTCCATCCTTCAGCTTCCAGACGGCCTTGCCCCAAAGCCAGTCAAAAGTACCATAGACAACACATAATACCTGGTTATGAGGCAATCTTTTTCCTTCCCAAGAGAAGTAGAGCATCTTAAAACCAGTAGCCTGGAGGTAGGCACTCGGTGGCTTCCATCTACGCAGTCTCACTCAATCCCCCCACCAGCCTCCCTAAAGCACCGGCTTGACAGATGAAGAAACAAAGACTTAAAGAGGTTACCCCCAGCTGGTGACCGAGGAAGGTCTTGAACTTTCTTCTGAGACTTCAGGTTACCCCAAACTGTAACTTAGGAGGGAAAAAAACCTCTGTCTCTCAGGCCTTTCTTTTGGAACTCCACTTGAATGGGAGATGCGTTTGTTCATTCAGCATTGATGAAACATCCCGTGCATACATTTCCAGGATAGGTGCTGTTCAGTCCTGGTGGCCATCGTGGCGGCAGCTCTCTTGTCACCGGGCTGCATCCTGCAAACACTCTGTGATCAGAGGTGGGCATGGCCTCCCTGCCCTCAGAGAGACCCCAGGGAATGGCTGTCAGGAAGCACCCCTGGCTATTCTGGGGTGGTTCCTTCTTCCATCCTGCAGGACCCTTGTGCTCTGGCTCCCTTCACCCTTCTCCCTAATGCAGACCCCAGAGACCCGCTCACCTGGCTTCTCTCTTCTCTTCAACATCGCCACCCCCTTTCTCCCTCAGGTTCTTCTCCCCAAGCCTGGCTGTGAAAGACACTGTGGTCTTTCCAGCTTACCTCTTCCTAATGACACCAGAGCCAGTCACACAAACCCTTTATTACTTAGGGTTTTTGTCATTGTTGTTGCTCATCATGCAGGGAAATAAAAAGAGGAAAACACAACTGGCCCAAATGGGAAGTGACCATCATTCTAGATCAGAACTGTCCAATATAGTACCCCTGGCTACACGTGGCTATGGAGCATTTGAAATGTGGCCAGTCTGAATTGGGATGCGCTGTAAGTGTGAAATGCACATCAGATTTTAGAGTTGGCTGTAAAGAAAGAATGTAAAATCTTATTAATCATTTTATAATGATTTTACATTGATTATATATGGAAATAATATTTTGTATGTTTTCAAAACATTACGTTAATTTCACTTGTTTCTTTTTTACTTTAGGATATTTAAAACTTTAAGTTTTTATTTATTTATTTTGAGAAAGAGAGGGAGGGAGAGAGAGAGCACAAGCAGAGGAGGGGCAGAGAGAGAGAGAGAGAGAGAGGGAAAATCCCAAATCCCAAGTAGGCTCTGCCCTGCCAGTGCAAAGCCAGACATGGGGCTCAATCCTGAGCCAAAATCAAGAGTTTGATGCTTAACCAACTGAGCCTCCCAGGTGCCCCTAGTTTAGAACATTTAAAATTACATATATAGCTCACATTATATTTCCACTGGGTAGTGCTTGTCTACAATATAGTATTTCCAACCATGGTCTCTGGCGTATAGGTTTTGGGGTTTTTAGTTTGTTTTTCTTTTTTACCTTCAGTTCTATATTTAATCGTTATCCTTTAGAAAGTAAAGCAAGAGAAGATAAGCACAGTGTGCAAAATAAGATTTTGTTTAGTATGACCCTTCAGTCATTGTGTAATTAAGACTAAAATCTCTCATTATCTTAAAATTGTTTTTATTAAGATAAAATTCACATGCCACAAAACTCACCCTTTTATTTAAAAAAAAAAATTTAATGTTTATTTTTGAGAGAGAGAGAAAGAGAGAGAGAGTGGGGAAGGGGCAGAGAGAGAGGGAGACACAGAATCTGAAGCAGGCTCCAGGCTGTGAGCTGTCAGCACAGAGGCCGATGCGGGGCTCAAACCTACTAACCGTGAGATCACGACCTGAGCCGAAGTTGGGCGCTTAACGAATGAGCCACCCAGGTGCCCCTAAAATTCTTCCTTTTAAAACCAATTTGACAATAAATTTCATATATAAATAAAAAAAAAAAAGAAGAAAGAAAAAAAAAATTCTTCCTTTTAAAGTGTGCAATTCAGGGGCTCCTGGCTGGCTCAGTGGTGGAGCATATGACTCTTGATCTCAGGGTTGTGAGTTCAAGCCCCACGTTGGGTGTAGAGATTACTTAAAATGAAATCTTAAAATAATAGTAATAATATTAATAATAAAATGTGTGATTCAGTAGTTTTTTAGTATATTCACAAAGTTGCACAATCAACACCGCTACCTAGTTCCAAAACATTTTAATCACCCTCAAAAGAAACCCCATTCCCTTTAGCAATTACTCCCCCTGCCCCAGACCCTGCAACCACTGATTCCTCTCCCCCTGCCCCAGACCCTGCAACCACTGATCTACTTTCTGGCTCCATGGTTTGCCTATTCTGGACGTTTAATAGCAACGAAATCCTATAATATGTAGGATTATAACATGTAGGATATAATATGTAGGTCTGACTTCTTTCACTCATGATATCTTTCAAGGCTCATCCATGTTGTAGCGTTCTTGTTTATGGCTGAGTACCATTCCTTTGTATGGACCACAGTTTGGTTAACCACTCAGCAGTTGATGGATGTTTGGGTTCTGGCTCAGGGTACAGTTCTGGTTCCATCTCTTACCATCATTTCCTCAGCCCCTCTCCAGTTACAAAGAACTTCCTAACCATCGCTGCATTTCTCGTGCTCCATTAAATCATATGTTTTGCTTGTTTTGGTCCCTCTGCTAAGAAGGTCCCTCCCTTGTCTCCTATGCCCAGCTGACCTCCTCCGAAGCTTTACTCCCACCTCCTCTAGGTTCTCACCTCCCATTGTGTATTCACTGGGTCCGGTACTTTGTAGAAGCCACTTGACATCCTTGACATCCTTACTTGCTGCCTCTCTTCCCCCAACATCTTGACTTCCCTTTCTTTCCCCAGTGGAATGACCAGCCCCACCTCCCAATTCTCCTGAAGCTTAAGGATTCAGCTTAGTGCTCAGGCTGTTCCCTAACTCTGACTGATTCCCCAATGTGCTTTGTCTCTCAGTCAACAAAGGGAACACCCCCTCTGTGGCCTTGGCACATCAAGAACCTGTGCCTCCTCAGGCCTTGGCTGTTGGAAGGAAGCTGCATTGGGAGTTGTGATGACCCTGCAGCATGAAAGGAAGAACTTTCCAGAACAACTAGCCTGGGAAAGGGTAGCTCAAAGTGTATCATTTTACTAGGGTAAGAATCCCCAGGAAAAGTCAGCAGTGGGTGGAACCAACAGTTCCCTCTTCTTTCCTGTCCCCTCCAGAGACTTCAGGATACTCTAGGGAAGGCCCCTCATAGCAGTTTAGTGGCCAGGATGGACAGAAGGTTGGATGTGAGTGGTGGCTCCCTAGAGGTTTCTGGCAGGATGCCAGAGAGGTGTATCCTCTACTCTGCCCTGTCCAGTGGGCATAAAGATCTAGAACGCATACCTCCCATATTTGCAAATTATCTGAACCTGAGAGAGACAGTGAGCTTTTAAGCAGCAGAACCAAGATCACCCAGAAAGTTCTAGTCAGGCCAGAATGATGGGCTCGGTCTAACAAATGAACTCTTTTAGCCTGGAGAGGGGCGGCCTTGCTGTGTATGACCCCAGGGATATCGCCGGAACCAGAAGGGCTTTCTGAGTCAGCTTTAAAAAAGAAGAAGGCTTGGCTTTTTCAGGAAGAACTGAGCTCCTTGTTCCAGGAAGTATTCAAGTACAACCTCTTTGGGGACACTGTAGGTAGGGTTGAAATACTTTTTCTTTTCATCCAGCAAATATTTTTTAAGCACTCGGCCAGCCCAGGTGCTGGGGACAGAAAGAAAGGACTGGTCCTGGCCCTCAAGCTGCTCACCATCTAGTCCAGTGACAGGCGAATAAACTGTGCAGAGATAGCCAGTGGGGGGTGGGGGGGTGTAGGTTTGCCAGCATAGACGGGGAGCTCCTCACCCAGGGCCTGCATGAGGGCCGGTGAGAGGGCCCTCATGCTGAGTGTTGATGGGCCATGAAGATGAATTACTATTCTTAATTTTTTAGGTAAGAGAATGTATTGTAGCTATTAAAAAACTTTTCTGTCTTTTAAAGACACACACAGGGGTGCTTCGGTGGCTCAGTTGTTTGAGCGTCCGACTTCGGCTCAGGTCATGACCTCGCAGTCCGTGGGTTCGAGCCCCGCGTCAGGCTCCATGCTGACAGCTCAGAGCCTGGAGCCTGCTTCAAATTCTGTGTCTCCCTCTCCCCCACTCATGCTCTGTCTCTCTCTCTCAAAAATAAATATTTTTTAAAAATTAAAAAACATTTAAAGGGACACATGGAAACATTTATGAATGAAACAATATACCTGGGATTTGCTTCAGAATCATCTGAGGATGGGAGAAACGTGGGCGGGCGGGCATAGAGATAAAGCAAGATTAGCCAGATGTTGGTAACTGTGGAAGGTGGGCAATGGGTACCCTGAGGCCCATTATGCTGTTCTGTCTAGTTTATATACCATTGAACTTCCCCATAATAAGAAGTTAAAAATAAGATGGCGGAGAAGGCAAGGAGGAGGCAGAGAAGGAGAACGAAAAGGGCGAGGCAGGCGAAGGAGGGCAGTGGCCGTTCTGGGGGCAGGAAGCACGGACATGAGCCCAGAGAGACCAGAGCGGCGCACTTCACTATGACCCTGGTGCAGGCGCAGAGGAGGAGGGAGGCAGGGGCAGGCACGGGCCAGATCATGAAGGGCCTTGCGTGCCAAGTTAAGAAGTCTGGACTTCCTCCTGAAAGCCTGGGAGCCACTGATCAGGTTTCTGTTTTAGAGAGATCTCTCTGACTACAGCGTGCAGATGTCTTGACGAGAGAAGGAAGATACGAGGCAGGGAGACTAGAGAGGATGGTGGCCAGGCACAGCAGTGGAGGAGGGGTGGGGAGAGGCTCGCCTGAGATTTACTGGGAAGGTGGGATGAAGGGAGCAGGAAGAATCAAGGCCGGAGTCACAGCGTCTGGGGAGTTGGGGCTGCCTTTCCCGAGCACGGTGAAAGCAGGAAGGCAGGGATCCGCTCTACCCCTGACATCCTCCGCTTCTGTTTCTCTACGAGGCCCAGGACTGGCTACAGAATTCTCAGGACCTGGTGTAAAATTAAAACATGGAGCTCCTTGTTCAATAACGACTAAGACTGGGGCGCCTGGGTGACTCAGTCGGTTAAGCGGCTGACTCCTGATTTTGGCTCAGGCCACGATCTCACGGTTCGTGAGTTCGAGCACCATGTCCGGCTCTGTGCTGACAGCATGGAGCCTGCTTGGGATCCTCTCTCTCCCTCTCTCTGCCCTTCCCTACACTCTCTCTCTCAAAATAAACATTAAAATTTTTAAAAAAATAATAATAATTACTAAGACTTTCAGGACGGTGACAGTAGAGCGTTAAACCAGGCACATGGCCCTTTTGAGCACCGGGCCCTGTGCAGCTGCAGAGGCCACATGCTCATGAAACCAGTCCTGATGAGGCCACTGTATGCAGCCTCCTCTGTTTAGAACAGGCCAGAGGGTGGCTGTGTGAGAGCCAGGCCTCCTGCTCTTGGCCCCAGGCGGCAAGAGGACAGCATGTTCCTCCTGCTACCCCCTGGGACCTAAGTGGGACCCAGCGCTCTGGGACAAACAGCTTACATTTAAGCAGCTCTTTACAATGTTTTCCAGCCTCGCTTGGGTTTTTGTCTGTGCTGGGATGAAGTGAAGAAGCAGAGAGCAGGCATTTCAGAGCGCGGAGCGCTAAAGGGACTTGTTTGTTTCCACAAAGAGATTTCCCAGCTTCTCCAAAAATGGGGTTTGCTACAAGCTTCCCAGTATGAGTCACCAGACCAGTTGGCAAAACACTTAGGTCTGCAGAGAGCACTGGAGCTGATCCTTCATCACAGAGAAGATCCACAACAAGACTCTTCAGCCCCTGGAGATGCGTTCTTTATGTCTTCCAAACAGAAACCCAAACGGTGCTGCCTGGGAAGGTCTGGCCAGCACAAGCCATAAAGCGACGCCCTCACCTTGAACCCTGCTCCCCACCCGCCTTCCCATTTTTCCCCCTGGCAGTAAAATGCCCACACCTTTGGCGGGAGGAGTAAGGATCTTGGGGAAAAGTAGGCACTTTCCACCCTCCCTTGCTTGCTGGTGCCTCTTGGTGGCTCTTCTTGGGCTCCTTGGAGAGGAGCAAGAACCACAGAGCCACTCCTCACTGTCCCAACTTCTCCTCTTTTTTTTTTTTTTTTAATTTTTTAGTGTTTATTTATTCTTGAGAAAGAGAGAGAGAGACAGACAGAGTGCAAGCGGGAGAGGGGCACACAGAGAAGGAGACCCAGAATCCGAAGCAGGCTCCAGGCTCTGAGCTGTCAGCACAGAGCCCAACGTGGGGCTGGAACTCATGAACCATGAGTTCATGACCTGAGCCGAAGTCGGACGCGTAACTGACTGAGCCACCCAGGTGCCCCCCATCTTCTCCTCTTTAATATCCTTTTCACGAGAAAACTTCACCCTTAAAGACTTAGAGCAGACAAGAATCACCATAGTCTCTGGCAGAATTCGGTGAAACATTCAGTGCAAAAGCCCAACCACCCAAGTTTGCACATCCCTATTTTTTCCAGAATATTCCTTCCTTCCCATTCGCTTATAAAGGCAATGCAGAAACTGCAGTGGATGGCATTTGCTCCCCATGCAAAGCCTTGGTCTTGAGCTGGACTGCATCAGAAGATGTCATTTCCTGGGTTCACAAACAGAGTATCCTTTTCTTAGCCACCACTCCACCCCAGTGGAGATCGTCCTGGGAGGTAAAAATGAACTGTGGAGTTTATGTTTACACTGGAGTTGGAGGCGGTGCCTGAGACTCTTCTGGCCCTTCTGCTTGGCACTAATATTTATCACCGGGCTGACTTCGAAACCATTGGAACAGAACCAGGCAAGGGTCAGGCTCCATGGCAGGTCCTGGCACAGCCTTGCTGGGCTGCATGGTGGGGTATCACCCCCCCACCTTTCTGTCCCCTCCCGTCTCTTCCATCCCTTCTCCCTGCTGCTGGCCTGAGGGGTCATGGTTTTTCTTTTTTTGCTATGAAACAGAATTATTTAAAGACAATTATTTGTTTTTTTATAAAACAACTTTTCATTTTTCTGATCATAAAAGTAATCCAGATATTAGATATCTGGGTTTTTTTATTTATTATTTTGAGAGAAAGAGAGCACGAGTGGGGAGGGCAGAGAGAGGAGAGAGAGAATCCCAAGTAGGCCCCACACTGCCAGAGCAGAGCCCGATGCGGAGCTCGAACTCATGTACCGTGAGATCATGACCTGAGCCGAAATCAAGAGTTGGTCACTTAACCAACTGATCCACCCAAGCGCCCCTAGATATCTGTTTCAAAAGCAGATTACTATTCACTTCAGACTCCAAGATATAATCCAGTTGAATTAAAGATCTAAGTTAAAACATCTTTAGGTTAAGGATTAGGGTAAGAACTTACCAGAAAAATGAGGGAGGACGAGCCTTCCAAGTGGCGAGAACATCACTCCAAAGGCTCCTTAAAAGAACCGAGAGAATCGAGCAGGGCTGAGCGGCAGCGTAGGACGCAACGCCGAGAGAGGGCAGTCAGCAGCCAGGTGGGAACGGACTGTGGGAGTCTAGACTTTATCCCAGGGGTGCTGGAGAACCATGGAAGGTTTCAGGCAAAGAAGTGAATCGACAGATCTGTGCTTCAGCAGAGTCTCTGTGGTTGCGGTGTAAAGACTATCCTAGAGGAGGTCAGCAAGGCCAGGGTGAAGGTTGCTGCAGTAGCCCCAGTGACAGGTGACAGCTGCCTGGATGAAAGTAGCATCAGTGAGGATGAGAGGAGGGACTGATGGGAGTGGGGGTGAGGAGGTTGCATCATCTGTGTGTAGGAGATAAGGGGATAGATAAAACCATCTTTTATAAAATCAGTTGATTTCACAGCCTCTCCCCAAATCCCTTGGGATGGCGTGAGTGCAGAGGGGTCCACATCGCCTCTCCCCACATACTCCTCCCATCCTCTTGCCTTCAGGACTTCTGACTTGAGCCACCAGGTGTTTGGAAGAGCCATTCACCAAGACAGGGAGTGGAGCAGGAAAGGGCATGGCGGTGGGAAGCCAGGGGGATCTCAGATTTTAAGATACGTGGGGACAGACATGCCAGGAGGTATAACAGACAGTTGGATACGAGGGTCTGAACCTCTGCAGTGGTGCCCAGCCCAGGAATACAGCTTCGAGAGACATCAGAACACAACTCATGCCATCAGAATAAATGAGGTCACCCAGGGAGAGGGCCTAAAAGTGAAAACAAAGGAGGCTCAAAATCAGACCTTGAAAACACCCACATTTAAGAGGCATGCAATTCCCAAGCAATTAAACAAGATAAAGAATACAAATGTCAACCTGATTTAGCAATAAGGGGGTCAGTAATGATCTGGATGAAACTAATTTCTATGGAATCTCGGGGCTGAGGTGAGAGTGTGTTGGATCCAGGAATGGGTAGGGACTTTACAAGAACATTTGGGGGAAGTTTGGGTATAAAAGGCTATTGGTACGGGGCGGCACCCAGTGGGAGCGGGGGGTATAGGCACAGATCTGACTGACCTGGGATGTGAAGGCCACGGGAGAGAGTGTGGGAGCCAGAGTCCACGGCACGGTGAGCCTGGAACAGGCGGACAGGTGCTTCGTCCTTCCCAGGACTGGAGAAAGGATGGAAGTGAGCTGGTAGGAGAGAGAGGGCGGGAAGTTGGAGAATTCCCACAGGCTGGTTTCTGTTGATTCCTGGGAAGTGAGTAGGGGAGATGATCTGCTGAGAATGGGGCGGAGTGGGATGAGAAACGGAGGACAAGGAATCTGAGAGCTTCGAACAGGTGCAGGTGGGAGAACCAGGAGAGAGCTGTAAATCTGGGAAACCAGATCATGACAGCTAACTTTTACTGCCAGCTTCCAGTGCCTTCGGCTCTGCTGCAAAGGCCTTGCACGGAACACTTCACTGAAGGCTCCGAACCCTGTGAAGGGTTACGATCCCCACATTGGCATAAGGGCAAACACTAGAACCTGGCATTCTAACCCTAGTGCTAGGGCTCGGCATTGATGTCACCCAGGAGGCAAGGCTGCGGGGCGTGGAGGGCAGTAGCCCCACTGTAGGGGTGGGTTGCTTGCCCTGCCTGGCCCAGCAACCTGTGGGGGGCATGCGGCACAATCATGGAGCGGTGAGGTTCAGGGAGGGGGCTCTGACCAGTGGGCATGGCCCCGGCGGAGGATATTTGCAAGAATGTGGTTAACACGTTGGATAGGATCAGAGGCGAAGCAGTCAGGTGGGTGGTACAGAGAAGTCAGAATTTGGATCACGTTCCAGCGACGCCACTTCCGGGTGGAGACCCAAAAGAACAGAAAGTCAGGACCGGAACAGATGTTCACACACCCACGTTCATAGCAGCATTATGAACAATAGTGAAAAAGGTGGAAACAGTGCAAGCGCCCCTCCATGGATGAATAGATAAACAAAATGTGGCATATAGATATAATGGAATCTTACTCAGCCTTAAAAAGGAAAAAAAAAACCTGAATTTAAACTTTTTGTGGTGTCCCCACTTCGCAGGCAACATTTAGCAGCTGTCAAGTCTCACGCCGCCTCAGCAGCAAGAGGGTCAGCGGTGGCCTGGATAAATAACAACTGAGTTGTTCAGGGGACTCTAGCCTTGTCCTGAAAGATCATGTTTCCAGTAGTGGCCCAGAGAGGTCACTCAGGGAACTAGCTAATGGATGACAGCTCTGAGAGCTAGCTTCTTAGAAACCTCTGGTTTGGTAAAACAAACTTGACCTCTCCCCAGCTGCTCCATCCTTTGGGATAAAGTGGTGAAGATATTGGATAGAATGGCTGTCACTGCCTCCACTCCCACCCCTAGCCTCCCACCTCTGGCCCCATGGGGCTGGGCTTCTCCTTGTTTACTGCATTCCTTTAAGGAATGTCACTGGCGGGCAGGCTCTGGGAGCTGGCCTGGCTTGTCTAGCTGCCTCTCAGCTCCTACCTCCTTCCCCTCCGGCTCTGGACATCCTCAAGGCTGCAGGCCAAGGCAGGCAGCCACAGACCCAGCAGGCCTTCTGGGTGTGGACCCTGGGATGTGTAACATACACAGGGGTGCACCCTACGGTCAAACCTGGTTTGGGGCTGGCGATCTGGACCCAGTGCCAGGAGGGAAGGGATGGGGAGCCAGGAGAGCCACCAGCAGAGGCCGCAACTGTGCAGAGGGCACCTGTGGCTGTCTCAGGCCTGGCTTCCTCGGGAGAGGGTGTGAGTAGTCTAGAAATGCTCTACAGCTGGCCCTACTGAATGGCAGAGCCCTGGAGTGTCTTTCCAGAAGTGAGGTGGAATCACACGCATTCATTCTCCCAGGAACCCTGGCCCCTTGTCTGACCCCGACTCGGCCTGCCCTGGGCTATGGAACATGTGCCCTGCCCAAGGAGCCCCCGCAGGAACTGGGCTGAAGGGCTGGGGATATGTAGCACACCTGGACCAGGCCGAGAAGGCTGACATCCAGGGCTCTCCAACCTGTGGCCAGACCGGACGCTGAGCCCACTGGCATTTCGGCCTTGGAATTTGTCTCTGCCAGTGGTGAGTGGAGGGAGTGCACCCTTTTCACCTCCAACACCAATGTCAAACAATGTTGGTGCTTATTTGAGCACTTATTTGTGCTCAGCTCCTTACTCTACAAGCTTTCTTGATCTTCATTATTCCAAACTAATATTTGGCTGCATCTGGTGGCCATCATTCACTCATTCAGTCATTCATTCACTCATTCATTCATTCAATAGTTATCAAGCAAGCACCTACAATGTGCCTGGCACTCTCTGCCGGGGATCCAGTGAATGATAAGGCATCCTTCCTGGCCATGGGCCCATAAGGGGAGATGGACAAAGGGACAGAGTGATAGGGGCCAAGACTGGGAGTTGTGGGGGAGGGGCCCAGGGCAGGGGCTGGGGGATCCGGGGCGACTTCCTAAAGCAGGCCACGCCCAATGCTTCGTTGGTGCTGGGCGATGGGTAGAGAGAGGTTAACCCGCTGAACACGGGGTGCAGAAGTGCCTGTAAAGGAACAGAGTTGTAGGATGGGGCTTGGGAACGAGGGCAGAGGAGGTGAGGCTGCAGAGGAAAGCCTCGTGCTCAACACGCAGGGCTCCTTCCCTGCTTCCCAAACTCCTCCTCCTCCTTCGGGGTCAGCTCCTGTGTCTCCCCACTTATGGAACCTTCCTCAGTGCAACTTTCTGGCTCTGTGCTCTGTGAGGGCTTTCTCAGACCTAGTGTTCACCTCTGTCAGAAAACCCACATGGATCTTTCTCCTGTTCAGCCAGGCCTCCTCCGTGTCCCCCACAGGCCCGGCTCCTTCCCCAGGCTTCTGGTGGTCTCCATCTTCCACGTACCCCTTGGGTTCCCTCTTCCAGGCCTGACTGGAGACAGCCATGGTTTCCCCACCTTGGCACCTTGATTTTTATACTCTTGAGGCTACCTTCCCCTTAACCCTGCAAGAGCCATGGGCCCTTCCCTCCCAGATGGCCCCTCCTCCCAGCCTGAACACGAAATCCAAGGGGACGCCAGGTGCCTCTCCCGGCTCTGCGGAGACTCATGGCCATCCATTTCTGTCTCCCCGGAGCTGAGCCCAGCATCTGGCAGAGCTGTCACCCCTCGAGTGTATGACCGAGTGATCAGATGCCCAGGTGGCAAGCGTCGGGTCCATGTTGTGTGCTTTGCCAGGAGTGCCTGGCAGAACCCGGCATTCCTTCCTTAGGGTCTGATGGTGGGGAGTGAGCGTAGCATAGTAGACAAGAGCACGATCTTTAGAACCCAAGAGATCTGAGCTTGAAATCCAGTCCTCGCCCTTACTACTGATGTGACTTGTTTAAGAATGACACCATCTGCAGGATGCCGAAAATGTTTCCACCGACTCCCAGATGCCATGACTGCCCCTGAGCACATTGTCCAGAATTCTGACTTTTCTGTGGCTTATCTCTAAGATGCCATCATAATGTGATGGTCGTTAAGACCATGATACAAGCTTATAGGGAACAGTGGGAAAAGAAGACACAAGCGAAGGTCACCCTGGCCGCTACCAGCCAGCAGCACGAGGTCCCCCACCCCTGCCAGCCCTCTTCCAAGCTTCCTCCCAGGGAGGTTGGAACCTCTCCGTGCTGGGCCCTCCTCTGGTGGCAGCACAGAGGAGTGAATGAGATGGGTGGCTTGCGTGAGGCACTTAGCATGGCATCTCCCACCTTGCAAACACTAAAACATTCTTCTTTCAGGGTTGGGCGGCCAGGGGGTGGAGAGCCTATCTCTGTACCAGGCATTTAAGTCAAAGACCGGCTTGGCATGTGGCCCACTCACGCAAGACAGTGTGATAAAGAGGTAAACAGTTCGGACTCTAGAACCTGAGTCCTTGCTTCCTCACGTAATAGCTGCATGATCTGGGCTTCTGTTTCTTCTTCTGTGACACAGGAGTAACCACCTGTGGCAGTAACCACCCTGCAGAGCCAGCACGGGGCTGCAGGAGTTGCTAACTCCACGTGAAGCACAGCCAACGGCACCTCGATGAACCCTCATTGATTTGGCAATTGTTTTGCTGGAGAGGAAACGTAGTAGAAAGCTGTTGTGGACTGAGGATTTGGGGAAGAAGATTGAACTTGACTTCTCCAGTGGGCTGGCAGCCAGGGCTGGGGGACGTGCCCTTTAGAAATATGGGGCTCAAAACCATGAAAGGAGCTCCTCCAGCGTTCCCATGTAGTTTCTTCACTGGGTAAAGGGTCAGCTTGAGTTGGCCTTGCCCTTCCCTAGAAAGATTGGTGCCATTCCCAGACCTTAGGCCCAATGAACTACGAACATCCCACCATGGGGCTGGAGCCTGCCCACCACCCCAAGAGTTGATTCACATGCTCACATCAGGCTGGTCCTGGAGAGCACAGGGAGGCCAGAGAGACCAAACAGAGAGGGGACAGGGCAGCAAGGGGCGTCTGGGATGCTTGCAGGGACACAGCTTTTCTTAGTTCTGTGACTGCATGAGCCTTGGCTTCTCCGCTCAGAGCTTACCAGGTGCACACATTCCCCCAGGGGGTGCCCTAGATGACCCCTCTGGAGCCCTGGTCGGTTTGGAGGCTTTCTGTGGCCCACGTTCCCTTGGGGGACAAGAGGACACAAGCCTCCAACATTGCTTGTCATATTTATTAGGTGTGGATAGGCTCTCACACTGTCAACCCACAGGACTTCCGGCTGGGAGCAGAAGGCTGGGACAGCTGCTGGTCCCTGGTTTCAAGGGGCCCTACCAGGGCTACCTGGGGTGGGGGGGGTCTCTCCAGGCCTGACACCTGCCCATTTCTGAGGTTACCCATGCAAATTATTTGGGTCTGGTGTACTTTGTCGGCATGCCCAACAAGCATTTACAGAGGCACCTGCGACGTGCAGGCCCCCGTGCCAGGCCTCCTCATCCTCCCTCCCACCTCACTCACGGGCTGGGGGCTCCAGGTACGCAGTCCTCACAGTCTCAGGAGGTACGGTGAGGAGGCACTTTTGCAGTCTGCACACCAGATGATACAGCCCCCACCCCAAAATTAGGAATCTCATTTTGATCCCCTGTTTCTTAGGGGATCAACTATACGCCAGTCACGGACAGGAGCTGAGTGTACTCATGGGTCTCTGTGTGTAAGCCCTTGAATGCCCCATAAAGTATGTTCCCAGAAATGTGAACCCAAGGGGGCGAGGTTAAAGCCCTTTTCTGCCCCCATTCCCCATTGCCTTCCTCCTTCTTGAGCCCATCCTTTGTGATCTCAGTTTCCCCATAAGTCCCTCCATAGCTACAAGGGATGAGAAGGGGGCTGCTCAGGACCCTGCAAGGGCCCGTGGAGACAACATTTCCCCACAGTGGGGGGGGGGGGGGGGCTGTGAAACAGGGGAAGCCAACCCAGGATGATCTGAAAATGGGCAGGGCTGAGATAACCAAAAAGGGGGGGTTTCTGGGAGATACCAAGGCCTCGTCCCTGAGCCAAGGAGTCAAGGAACTTCAGTGTGGGAAATGGTTGAGAGACGGGCTGCCAGGCCTGTTCGGGAGGCCACAGTGATTCTCTGGCCGGCATGAAGGGACGCTGTCAGATGAAACAGTAACTCTCAGGCAGCGGGGCCACCGCCTCAGCACCGTCTGCCACGTACCTTGATGTCAACTTGTCCCCCTGCCTGCCATGCCCCCAAAGCTGTGAGGGCGGGCCTGCCTTATGCAGCACTATGTCCCCAGGATGGGGTTGATATATACCTCCCAATGAATGAAGCCACAGTGGATGAATGAGTAGGGTCACAGGAGGATTTGGGGGGGGAGGGTGCTGGCCGTAGAGAACAGGCATCTCTTTGTACCCCC